GGTGTGGCCCATGTTTATGTCAGCAGTGGGCCCCGTACGCTACTGAGACAAATTAAAACACGTTAGGAATGCAACAGAATGAATGAGAGAAAGAAGTATCATCAAGGCCAAGGACATAGCAGTTACCCCTGCAAACTTCTCTACCACCATGCACCAAGGCCTATGTCATTTCAGCCTAATGCCAAATTGCTCTCTGAAAAATAACAATTAGTGTAATGTTGATCTGTATAAAAGGCTAGAAAGGCGAATATACCTTTGATAGCATCTGATCGATATAAGCTCGTGCTTCTGTCAGTCTTGTCACTAATATGAAGTTATGTCAAGTGACTATGTTGTTCTGATGGTTGTCGTTGCCATTGACGTTGCGTGATGGTTGTCGTCATTGTTGCCGTTTTTGTTGTCGTGATCGTTATCGTTGTTGTGATCGTTATCGTTGTCGTGATCGTCAACGTTGTCGTGATCGTTAACGTTGTGATCGTTATCGTTGTTGTGATCGTTATCGTTATCGTTGTTATGATTGGTATCGTTATCGTTGTCGTAGTTGTGATCGTTATCGTTGTTGCGATCGTTATCGTTGTTGTGATCGTTATCGTTATCGTTGTTGGATCGTTATCGTTGTTATGATCGTTATCGTTATCGTTGTCGTTGTTGTCATCGTTGTCGTTGCTGCGATCGTTATCATTGTCGTGATCGTTATCATTATCGTTGTTGTGATCGTTATCGTTATCGTTGTTGTGATCGTTATCGTTGTTGTAATCGTTATCGTTGTCGTGATCGTTATCGTTGTTGGATCGTTATCGTTGTTGTGATCAATATCATTGTTGTGATCGTTATCGCTGTTGTGATCGTTATCGTTGCTGTGATCGTTATCGTTATCGTTATTGTTGTTGGATCGTTATCGTTGCTGTGATCGTTATCGTTGTCGAGATCGTTATCGTTGTTATGATCGTTATCGTTATCGTTGTCGTTGTTGTGATGGTTGTCTTTGTTGTGATCGTTATCGTTGTTGTGATCTTTATCGTTATCGTTATCGTTGTTGTATCGTTATCGTTGTTATGATTGTTATCGTTATCGTTGTTGTATCGTTATCGTTGTCGTTCTTGTGATCGTTGTCGTTGTTGTGATCGTTATCGTTGTCGTGATCGTTATCGTTGTTGTGATCGTTATCGTTGTTGTGATCGTTATCGTTGTCGTGATCGTTATCTTTGTTGTGATCGTTATCGTTGTCGTGATCGTTATCGTTGTCGTGATCGTTATCGTTGTTGTGGTCGTTATCGTTGTTGTGATCGTTATCGTTGTCGTGATCGTTATCGTTGTCGTGATCGTGATCGTGATCGTTGTCGTGATCGTTATCGTTGTGATCGTTATCGTTGTCGTGATCGTTATCGTTGTTGTAATCGTTATCGTTGTCGTGATCGTTATCGTTATCGTGATCGTTATCGTTGTCGTAATCGTTATCGTTGTTGTGATCGTTGTCGTTGTTGTGATCGTTATCGTTGTCGTGATCGTTATCCTTGTCGTGATCGTTATCCTTGTCGTGATCGTTATCGTTGTCGTGAGGTATTTAACCCTGTTCGACATTAGAGACACTACAAAAATACATTAAAACTACTGTTTTAACTCACCTATCAATATCAACGTCTAAGACGGCC